CCCCTAAAACCGGGGGTCCCGTTGACCACCCGTCAACTCGCGAAAATATCTGTGATTGTCGCATAATCCGACATCACGTCTATCACATCCCTATAACCGGGATTACAACCCAAATGAGGATCTGTATTTGCTTTAATTCATTTAATCCCATCGAGGTTCAACATACCCCAATGTATCTCATTTAAGGTCCATTTGTGTCATTGGAACCAAAAAACACATAGCCCAAAAGCATGGCAATGCACTCTTAAGATTTCAGATTTTTTGAAAACCTTCCGGAAGGTTTTTCATAGACCTTCCAGAAGGTTTTACTCACTGAAAAAGTTCTTCTGGAAGGTTTTCTTCAACCTTCCAAAAGGTTTTGTCTGCTGAACCAAAAGTTTGCATTAACCTTTCGAAAGGTTGTTGTGACCTTCCGGAAGGTTTTGCCTAGAATTTTATGCTTCATCAGATTTTCATTTCCATTTCATCCAAAACCTTTCCAAATTCATTCCAAACATGTATAATGAAGTTTTTCTACATTACACATGATCCATACGAGTTCTATTACAAGCATTTGCATAATTTTTACATGTTAAAACATTGTTCCAACAAAGATTACACAAAATATGCCACCAAAGCCACAAGTCAGCTTTTCTTCATTATTGAAGCCCCGAATGCGAGTCCTCTCCCGGTACGAACCCCGCACATGAAATGTTTCCTGTATATGGTGAGCCAACACCCAGTAGAAAATTTTCTACAGAGGCTACTCCCCAACCTAAATGCATATGCAATGTTCGTATACAACAACACTCAACCAATATCCATTCCAATGCAAGAATATACAATTCGTGTTGGAATCTATAATGTCATGCCATGAAATGAGATGAGACTCACTTACGCACATCAACCCAAGCCTTTACTGGCTCTCACCACACTATGCAATGCAAGTTTAAAACATTTATCCTTGATGAAGTACATCCAAAGATCATTTTGAAACAAAACTTATGTGTTCGTAAAAAGCAATTCATTTCTGGATGTCTCCCATCAAATGAATCATTTATATAACCAAAACCATGTGTCTTTATTTGGGCAGTGGACTTTTGGTGTTACACCACCGGTTCCACACACCGATACACTTTTTTGGACTTGCACTGTAGGAAGTGTATAAACCAATAGCCGGGTCTTGCACCTGAGGGAGGATCTATCCCTTCTTGCTATACCTGACACAAGCTTTCATGTATGCAACTGTGTGTCTCAGTAGGATATTCAACCCCACTTTCCCAAGCCCACTCATCAAAACACCAAGTATGGTGATTGATCCAACCTTGTACAACATACACCCACACTCATGCCTAAACCCTTGAATGTGATGTTCTCATACCCATGCAATGTAATGAACCATTGCCATGCCAATGTCATGCTCAGTATGCAATGTATGCCATTGAGTCAAAATAAATCACATCTCTACATGTTCTATGGCAATTTATATCATACGCATATCAATTCCGTAAATCATTACAATGTCAATATCTCAATGAGCACATATTAACATTCCTTTACACCACATTTTCTAAGCATTTTATACATCATTATGTCATAACAACTTGATTCACACTTAGGCATTTTAACAAACACCTTCAAGGCAACAATTCATGTCATCACACAAGAATTTCCACGTCTTTCACAAAGCATAATATAAAACATATAATATGCCCAAAATATCAAATTCCAAGGAAATCACACAAGTAATTTCCTTTGCCAACATTATTAGGAATTGGTCTAGGCCAAATTCTATACCCACTTCCTCATTTTCATAATTATAGTCAATGACCTAGGTTATTCATACACTTACCCCATTCCAAATACACCCTAGGTAAGAAAGTGAACCAAAGTAGGAGAAACCCTACCTCTTGGAGCGTAAAACGAATAGAGAAACCTCAAGAATGTCTCCCAAGCCTCAAACCTTGATTTCTCCAAAATTTCTTCTTTGAAACTTGGATGAAATTCTTCGTTCTTAGTACGTACGCGTAGCCCTCGTCGCGTAGACCAACTTTAATTCTTGGATCAAGCAATTCCGACCGACGGAACTTCTTGGATCGAAGGAGGAAGGTAGAAATTTCTATTTTTCTCTCTTCTCTCTCTTCTCCCTCTTCTCTTCTCTTCTCTTCCAACGTGTGGTGTGCTGAACAAGTGGGGAGAATATCTAATGTTTTAGATAATTTAGCCCCGATTTATACTTTAAATTGTGCGGTCCACATTGCCCTGCTCGTTTATCACTTCCGGGTCCGTTTTTAACCTGAAACAACTTAATTAAATTCTGGTTTTCATTCAAATTAATTTTATTTGAACTTTTACCCAATTATAAGGAAATTCATAATTTCTATTTTTGGGGACCTTTAAAAGTTCATTCGTCACCCAATCGTCTCGAAAAATATGTAATATTCGACTATCTCAGAATTCGATGAAATTTGACGTAGCAGCTCAATTTCGTGATATGAATCCAATGGTGAGGTCTGTTGCATCATCTGAGCTCTATAGAAATATACATTTTAATCCCGCATAATAATGGCAAATTACTATTTTGCCCTTTGTCGAAAAAATTTCAAATTTCCCTGGGTTTCACACTACTGATAGGTTTTGAATGACTTCTACCGGTAGGTTTTGGTTGCCTTCTACCAGTAGGTTTTGTCCTACTTTAGGATTTCCTTTGGTTCCTTGAGGTCCTGAGTCATCCTTTAAGTGGTCCCTTCTTCCCCATTGACTTTGAGCACTTGGTTGGAGGCTTTAAACAAGACCTTACCTACTCTTTACCTACAATCACATGAATCTCCATTAATTATGAATTTGAAAGCATTTCCCCCAATTTTCACCACAAAACAAGTAAAATGGGTGCAATAAAAATACATGATGTGCAATATTCTATACTCATCAACCACCCACCTTGGATTTGAAGTCATTATTATCCTCACTTAAATATGCATTCTTGGGGGACAACCAAACATTTCCAGTGGTGATAAGCTCTTCATTAGAGTTGGGTAAAGAGGAAGAACTGTTGCAAGTCTTGAGGAAGCATTAGGGAGTAATCGGTTGGACCATTGCTGACATCAAGAGAATTAGCCCACTCATTTACACTGATAGAATATATCTTGAAGAAAACACCAAGCCGTCCTAATAGCCAAAAAGAAGACTCAATCCCATTATGAAGGATGTGGTTAAAGATGAAGTGCTCAAGCAACTTGACGTGAGAATCATTGCAATTTCCAACAATAAATGGGTTAGTCCCACACAAGTGGTACCAAAGAAGTCGGCAGTGACTATGGTGGCCAATGAGGAGAATGAGTTGATTCCGACACAGGTGGTCACCGGTTGGAGAATTTGCATTGATTACTGGAAGATTAACTCATGCACTTGAAAAGATCACCTTTCGCTACCATTCATTGATCTTGTGTTGGAGACAGTAGCTAGTCGTGTCCTCAGAATAACCCTTTTTGTCTCCCTCTATACTTCGTTTCACTCAACCTAAATATCACTCCAATGCCTCATTACAACCCATGAAAGCACTAAATAATCTGGAGAAAGCATGATGAGGGTACACTTCAAATGAAAATAAAAGTTGGTTTGCTCTCTATTGCCCTAAAATTCCATTCATGAGATTATGTCAAGGTAGTATCAATTGTTAAACATGCAAGTCATTTTTTGGATTATATGTGTGTGTTATTTCGGTTTGTGCACAAGATTTCATCTCACATATACACACTGAGAGCATGCTAGGAAAATCGTTGAGTATTCATTTTTAGGGAAACCCTTGGTGAGAATTGCATCAAAACTAAATTTGGATAGCTAAATGAATGTGGATTCTGTTGAGTAAAGGTTTAACTTGCATATTCATTTCACTCACACACGAGTTTTGAAACGAAATGTGTACGTGTATACTTTAGAATAGCATTTAAAGCTATGATGAAATTCATGTGTGATTAGTTCGGCTGCCTGGAGAAAATGGTTTTTGACAACCCAGAGCTAGTAGAAAAAGGGAATATGTCTGAATTGTTAGATATGAGGAAGAATTTGGAATACCTTTAACTTTATTTTGTGCTTTACTTGTTGGGTGTTCATTTTTTTATTTAGAATTCTATGACATATGTTTTGAAAGCATCAAGACTTAAATCGCATTACAATTTTGTAAATGAATTTGGGCAAAGTCATACAACATGATTCAGTAGTATGGATCATATTTTTGGGTAGTTGAGCTAGGAAATAGGTTGTTAGAATGTTGTGGAGTCAAACAAACTTAGAAAAATGGAGTGGGAGTGAGAATGAGCAACAAAGAAAATTTTTTGCAAAATTGAGTTAGGTACCAGTACTTGCTTGCGAGCTACCAGTATCTCTGAGGTAGAACAGCCAAAAGAATAGAAAAGCTAGGTACTGGNGAGTGGGAGTGAGAATGAGCAACAAAGAAAATTTTTTGCAAAATTGAGTTAGGTACCGGTACTTGCTTGCGAGCTACCAGTATCTCTGAGGTAGAACAGCCAAAAGAATAGAAAAGCTAGGTACTGCTACCTTATTGACCAGATACCAATACATTTTGAACATAATAGGTAGGTACCGATACCTCTAAAATAGAACAGTCAAGTACCGGTACCTCGTCCCCAGAATAAAAAAAAATGAGGGTTTAAAAGGGTATTTTCGGGATTTCTTCTCATTTCTCTTCCTCTTAAAAACCCTCTACTCTCCACCAAAGTTCTCCAAGCTCTCAAAGAACTCTTGGGGCATCCATTTCTTCACTCAAGATTGGATTTCTCTTCATTTCTCTCACTTTTCTCCTCTCAAAAACCCTTTCTTGAGATTCTTTGCTCAAAGCTTGAATTCATTGACAATGCTGAGAATTGGTAAGTCTCATTCTCCATCTTTTGGTTTAGTTGAGTTGTTTTGGGGATGGGTTTTCCCGTTCTTTGCCCTTAGGGCATTTTTGGTTTTGATGGCCCAAACAAAACAAGTGGGTCCCTTCACAACGAAGCAAGCAGGCACTGGGTTCCTTAAGAGGGCAGAAGAGATGGCCCCTAGTGGTGAGGAACAAAGAAAAAAAAAAGAATGACCCTCACACGGAGAGCATTGGGATTAAGAATGTGACGTGTGAGCGTCAAGTTGATAGGCCAAATGATGACTTTGTTAGAGCCATTGAGGGGCATGGGCTACACTTTTGGTTCAAAGAAGTGAGGGGGTACATTATTCCCTATGATGAGGATCGAAAATTGTTGAAGACCAATGTACGAGGAAAGGTGATTGAGGTTAATCTGACAGTCATTGCCAAGGCGTTGCATTACTAGAGGCCTCCAGCCAACACCGTTGTTTTTCCGCATGGCACCCAAGGGAGAAGGTCATTCTAGGAGTATGCGCGCCTAATGTATAAGGACCCTACATAGTTCGATGGAAAGATCCAAGTCGGGGAACTTAAGCATGCTTACAAAGTGATGCATAAGGTCCTCCACTACATTGTCTTGTCTCAGGGTGTGGAGAAGAAACTAGGGGAGGATAAAATGGCCCTCCTCTATGAGGTCATGGTTGGCGCCAACTTGGACATCGTTCTAATGATTTGGGAGGTGATGAAGGACTATGCCCATGCCAAGAAGTCGAGGGTGAATGTACCTTACACCCACTTTGTCAACAAGATCTACCTTTAGAGCAAGATCAAGGCCTTCCCCAACGACATGACACTCCGGCCTAAGTTTGGCCAGATAGGCAAGCCGAGCAGCAAGAAGAGGATGGCTAAGACTGGAGAGCCTGAGTAGAGAGAGGATAGGGCTAGGTCATCTGCAGCCAAGCCATCTATAGCAAGCCCATCCACAACCAGGCCATCTACTTCCACCCTTCCTCTAATAGTTTCTTAGCGTCTTGTTGGGATTGAGGGGAGGTTGGATGATTTTGGGGGGACTCTACAGCTACTGAAGCTAATATAGATTAAAATCTTTGAGAGGACATTCCCAGGAGAACCTCTCCTTTGAGGTGGCACCACCACTGACTACCTCACCAGATATTCCACCGTTCGCCCCTGCCAGCATGACTGTTGTAGAGATTGCAGAATTTAAGGATGATGAGGAGTAGAGAGAGACAAGTTATGGTTTTTTTTTTGTTTAGTTGTTCTGGTTGATTGTATAGGATAGGACAGTAGTTTAGGAGTTATCAACATGGTAGAAGAGTCCCCTGGGAAGTAGGCCATTTTCTTTTGGGTTCTTTGTACTCCTTGAGAATTATTATGAATGAAAGAACATCACTTTTTCTTTAATTTTTCCCTGAGTTCATTTGCATAATTACCAAGTTATGAGGTACCAGCACCTCTTCACTAGATACCTGTACCTAGAGCTTGGAACTCAACCTACTGAAATGGATGAAATAAAGAAGGTATCGGTACCTCTTCATTAGGTACCGGTACCAGAGCCTTCTGGAATTTAGGTACCGGTACCTCCTTGCCTTAGGTACGGGTACCTTCCATTTGTGCCCTTGATGATTCAACATTAAAGAAATGTGGGAGGTACCAGAACCTCTTCACTATGTACCGGTACCTAAGCCCTCTGCCTGTTAAGGCACCGGTACCTCATAACTTGGTACTGGTACCAAGAACCCATAAATTCAAATCCCCTTTCAGACAACTCCACCTACTACGAGGCCCCACCTTTTAATATCTAATTCATATTTTAACCTTTTTAACACTCCATCATGACCCCCTAACCTCTACACTCAAATAATAAGCATGAGGGAGTGGTTGGGAAGAGGAAGGGGGACCATGCTTTGACTAATTTTGGAAACTTTTGTGGATAAACTCTCTCCAATCAATCCAGGTCTAAACACTCAAGATTAGAGAGACGGGGATGGACGAAAATAGACACTTCTTACACGCAATTTTAAATTATCAAGCTTTTAGACAGAGAAGGTCCGTGAAGAAGATGAAGTTTTAGAGGAAGACAGCTGGGTTTTACATTTTCCTTCACCATTTTCATTGTAGTAAGCTCCATTTTACCTGTAATCCTTCCCTATTGCACTTTAATCTGTTTTAATTAAAGTTGTAATTAAGTTTGGCTAGGTTTCTTTTATTTTATTTCTACATTTGGGCTTTGTTCCCTTCAAGCTTTACATTTTGGACATGAATGCCTTTTCTTTTGTAGTTTAAACTTCTTCTTACATTAATACAAGCCTATGTTTGATTTCATCACCATGTCTTTCTCTTTAATGTCTGTTCGTGTTTTTACCATGGATAGCTAAACCTCTAATTGGCTAATCCAAGAGGAATTTCCTTTTGGGTATATGAAATCGACTCTCTTTCATTCCTCCTCATAGTGTAAAGTGCTTGGTTTGACTTGGTTGAGTACGAACGAATATGGTTGTGGGCTTTTGATACAAAGTAGACTTGTCTCGAGGTGTGCTCTTGTCCAATGCAACTACATTAGTCTCTCACTTTCTATGAATCAATCAAACACCTAGGTACCATTGGTTGAATGAAATGAGTTGATTTGGCATTACCATTGGAATGAACTCTATGTATTAGTCAACTCTCTTTTCTTACATATTTCACAATTCACAAACCACCAAATTTCAAACCACAAGATTTTCCAATTTTCACTTTTCTCTACAAATCGCTCTTCAAGACCACTTAGCCTCTCCTTCCTTGAGGAGATGACCTTGGAATACCCATTCCAAGAAAAATATGACACTATAAGTCTCTCTATGCTTGGGGAGCAATTTTGTATACTCACACATGTTTTGTTCATCCACACACAATTTTTTCACTTCTTACGTTAAGCTCGAGGGAGAGTGACACTCACCATACACTATAAGCCATGTACACACATAGTTAGGTTTATGTGGGAAGTTACAGAAAACGATCAAGCAATCACTTTTCACTTCTTAGTATGGTATTTGCTTGTACTTGACTCGAAGAAGGTTCAAAGGACATGGCATTAGCCTGGGTTTGACCTTGTGGATGTTTCGGTTGAGATGGGAAATTTACCTTCTCTATTGTGATCAAAGATTGGGTCAACTTGGCTAGATGACTCTTGATATCATCAATATTTTGTGAAGTCTGAGCCTTGAAATCATTGAATGCATGAGTAGACTGAGTATTAAAACTCATTTATCTTTGAATGAACTAATTCACTGTGTCTTTTAAACTTCTTTTGTATGGGAGTTGATAAGGCTGATATGGCTATTGAGTCTAGGTTGTAGTGAAGGTGGACCTAGCTACTGACTCATAGGTTGTGTATTTTTTCAACTAAAATTCGGGTGATTCTGTCATCCTAGATTATAGGTTTTAGAGTACGGGTTGGAATAAAGCTTGTTAAAATTTGAAATGACATTGGTTTGTTCCATAAAGACCTCTTTGAATGCTAGAATCGTGGGACATTCCCCCGTGGGATGTCCTGACAAAGCACAGATTTCACACAGCTGATCCGTGGGTGACACAATAGAAACTTCCTTGAATTTTTTTGTCTCTAGAGCATCTAGCTTTCGAGACAAAGTAGTCATTTTATCCCTTAAGTCATCATCTTCTTTTAACACATATTTTTCTCCTTGGGATGAAGATGGCTTGGTTTCAACAATATTTGGTGAGGCTGAGTCCCACATTTGGGAACTCTCAGAAATGGTATCAAAAAACTCAAATGCCTAATTAGGATTCTTACTCATGAATTCTTCATGGGCCATCATTTCAACAAAATGACGCATTGTAGATGGAAATGAATCATAAAAGAAGCCACCTAAGGTCCAACTCTCAAATACATGATGTGGGAAAGCTTGCAAAAGATCCTTAAATCTCTCCCAACATTAATGAAAAGTTTCTCCATCTTTCACACAATTCATGATTTGACGTCTCAATGCATTTGTGCGATGCATAGGAAAAAATTTCTTGAAAAATTCAGTTTGTAAAACTTGCCAACTTGGAATGGATTGAACTTTTAAAGACTTTAGTCATTGTTTGGATTTATCCTTCAAAGAAAAAAGAAAAAATTTTTAACCCAGTCATCTCATAATTATTTTTTAAATGCACCACATATTTCCTCAAATTCTTTCATATGCAAATAAGGGTTTCAAACTCAAGACCATGAAACTATGGTAGAAACTGTATTGTCCCTTCTTTAATGTTAAAATTTGGAGCAATTGTGGAGAAAGCAAAACATGATGGGATGCAAATATTCTCTTAAAGGTCTAACATTCTGAACTACCTCTTGTTCCCTTTGATTATTATTAGCTATTCTTAACTCAAAAGAGTCTGATGATGCTTGTGATAATGAAGATGACAAAGATGAAGGATTATATTGATTTACAGACCCTACTAATGACTTAACAGACATAACCAATCAAAATAAAACAAACAATATATGCACATATAATACAAGCTAGACAATTTCCCTGTTTGTTTTGAAATCACCATAACTCCCCAGCAACGGCGCCAAAAAAGCTTGATTGACTTGATTTAAATCATATACCCAAGTATAACTGATCAAATTGTAGTATTTCTCGGTTAAGTCTGAGGTCGAACCCATAGGGAGCTAACTGTTGGTATTCAAAATAGGAAAAGGTATGATTGTCATTTGCGTTGTATGTAATGGAATAGCTTATGGTGTGAGCTTAAAATTATCAGACAAATACTTAACTAAACTTTAAATAAAAATGGTAAAAGGTACTCTTTAGTTCGGGGATCCAACATACATTATACTACTTGTTTATGAAAATGCCACCTTACAACAATTAACTCTCATTTTACTGGATAGTTAACCGGTAGGTTTGATGTATAACTAAACCATATCACAATAACTGGTTAGGTTAGCCGGAAGATCTATGTACTATGCAACAACCAAATAACTATAGTAAACCCAAAGGTGAACCATTCAAAAGGTTTCCTTTAGCTATTTGATCTGCATGTTTATTAATCAAAAACATTGACTATGATGAGATTTAACCCTTCTATAACCAATCACCCGACTGTTACATAAAAACTAACTACATGCATCATTGAATCATGCATGAAGTATGTAATAACTTATAAATAAAATGGTATATAGCAACAAGCTTTGCTCAGTATTCATAACCATGAACATATTATGATAATAACCATCCATCAATTAGGGGAGGTACAAAAATTAATGCATAAATAAAATATCGATATTTTCATAACTTAAACAATATTACACATACATTCACCCCTCACCGAAGAGTATAAACGGACTATACATGCTTCATTGCTATAGACGAGCAAGAAGATAATCCCATTACAACAAAATACAAAATACAACAAATCCTTCCCCAATGAATATTTCAAACATTGCCACTCTTATTA